ATAGGGAATAAATATATAATAAACAATATATAAGTAATATATAAACAATCCTGAGCTGTAGGAATGCAGTATTTCTTGATCTGTGATCACTTCTTTTCCAGTTCCAGTCTATGGGAGCCAGGGCTTTGTGGAGCCAGCAGCTAGTGGACGTAGTGATGCTGCAGGTTTTTAAAAGTTCCAGGTTGGCTTCATGTTTCAGGGCCGGTTGGTACGTCCATCTTTCATACAGTCTGTGGTTCAGACAACAGCGCTGCCAACAGGTGTGTTGATGAAGGTGAGCTGAATCCTCAGCCTGTTGTTACCTGGAAACCCCTGCGATCTGCAAAATGACCCCAGTCCAACTTTTCCAGGTTAACGTTTCATTGTGACTTTACAGAACAACCCCATTCACACGAAGCTGAGTATCAGCTCGGTAAGTCAGCCAGGGCTTCTGAGTGTAGCTCTGAGCATGCTCACAGGTAGGGGGTGGAGCTGGCACCAAATGACCCAACATGGACAGGTGTTTATCACAAGAACAAAAAACTCAAGTTATAAACCAACATGAGAAATTTAACGTAAACTCAAAACTCTGAGTGAATGTGTCACGAAAGTCTCACCAATAGTGTGATTCCATTCCAGGTTCCAGATCTGCTCAGAACCAGCTGGTTCTGTGTCTGCAGGAACTGTAGTGCTTTAATGAAGCCATGCAGACTTTAGGGAGCTCAGCCGCCCTTTAATCTATATAGGGATTCAGCATTACGGTCCCAGTGTGTATACGCTGCTTAGATGAAGGTTTCTGATTGTAGGTAGTTTGTCATCATGCATCAGGAGACTGTGGAATTGTGACATTACAGATGCAGTTATTTAAAGAATAAATAATCTGGTCATATAAAACCAGCTTTTTATGGAGGTTGAAGGACGAATCCGATAATCTCTCACCTGGTGTCATTTGTCTGGGGTATTTATCGTCTTATTGTTTCAGCTGCATCTCTGGCAGTGTTGTCCAGCAGCAGCAGGGAGAGAACTTTCCTTAGCGTCAGTCTGTTTTTACAAATTTACCAACGAACTGAAGTATGTGGAAAATATCAGAGTGTCTTTTATGGATCGACGTTAACATTCAGTCGCAGCAACCACAGCTTCTGTCAGTGCTGCTTTGGGTAAAGTTACTAAACAGAAAATTATCCATCCATCATCTCTCCACTGTAATCCTCAAGGTAGGGTCGCAGGGGGCGGAGCCTATCCCAGCCAGCTGAGGTTCACCTGGACAGGTAACCAGTCTATCACAGGGCTACACTTAGAGACAGACAACCAAGCACACTCACATTCACACCTACGGACAATTTACNTGTGACTGAAACAGACAGAACAGGAACCATGGACCGTCTAACAGCTCTGGTTCTGGCAGCACAATGCCATAGCTGCTGGTGGAAGAACTTAGAACCAAGAAACCCTGGAACATGTCTGATACCAGCTCTGAAGTTAAAGTCTGATCAGCTGGTTTTGTTGTTGTCAGTGTATGTGTCCAAACAAATGGACCTTCAGTGGTACCAGGCGTTACAATGGACAAGAAGCTGAAGAAAACCAGGAGGTCTGAGCAGGTCCATGACTGTATAAGTGAAGAGACTAAAGAAGAACATCATAAAAGAACACAGACTTTTATATACATGCCCTCTGCGGGCTTAACTGGGTTCTGTTCTGGTCCCTTCAGCTACATTCTGATGTGGACAAAGGTGATGGGCAGGTGAGGTACGTCCTGAGCGGTGAAGGAGCGATATCCATCTTCTCCATCGATGAGGACACGGGGGACATTCATGCCACTAAGAGGCTGGACCGGGAGCAGCAGGCCTACTACACCCTGAGAGCTCAGGCTCGGGACCGAAACACTAACCTGCTGGTCGAACCAGAGTCCCAGTTCATCATCAAAGTCCAGGACATCAACGACAATGAGCCCAGGTTCCTGGATGGACCATACATGGCCCGGGTGGCTGAGCGGTCTCCTGTAGGTGGGTCTGAAGGTCCAAAACTAAAAATTACTGCCTCTCTGAGAATATGACTTTGCCGGAGATTTGGCAAAACGATGTTTCCATGTTTAGTCCGTCTTTAACAGACAGCCAGACGTCTTCCTATAAGCGACTAAACTGTATCAGTGAAGCCAACAGTCCTGTATGTGGAAACAGGCTTAGACTGACTGAAATCGAAAAAGTGTCGTCTGCTGAACGGTAATTAGATTAGCAGTGGCTCGTTAGAGACAATGAGCAGAAATCAGTGCAGTATTTTACACACTACTGCTTTTAATGTGAAAGTCAGAACTCAAAAGGTTCTTATTGTTAAACTCAAAATTAATACAGGCTCTTAATGTGACGCTCAGCTGATCAAACGTTTCGTACCCTCCATGCTAGCTTCACTTCATTGGGCCCTACTACACATGCTCAGCAGTATTTCTGTTAACGGTTACATCTGAGAGCGGTGGATTAACGTCGATTCAGAGACATCAGCTCTTATCAGCCACACAGTGCTCTCTGGCAAACAGCTTCAGTTTGGTAAATGAAGCTGTCTTTGTATGAATAAAAATTTCAAATCGCAGGTGTTTTTCCACAGGTACGTCTGTGGTGACGGTGGTGGCCACAGATGCTGACGATCCCACTTATGGAAACTCTGCCAGACTGGTTTACAGCATCCTGCAGGGTCAGCCATACTTCTCTGTGGAGCCAAAGACAGGTCACAGGAACGCACCTCAACACACCTCAACACACCTCAACACACCTGAATGCTGACAGTCCACTTACAGGTTTCACCAGAAGCATTAGGATTTTGACAGGAATCATCTCAGCTGAAGCCTCTTATTTACAGCTAATGACAACAGTGAGAACACGTCTGTAGTATCACCTGAAAGTACCATGATTTTAAAGTGAATCAGTTCTCCATAACTGCATTATTTATAAGTAGAGCCACAGAGGATTTCCTCTGATGAACCATTAAAAACACTTCACAGATAAGATATTGAAAATTCAGGCTTCAAAGAAACGAGAACTAAACCTGGCTGCTGCTCACAGCTAAACTTCCACATCAAAGTTCACCAGAGAACATGAACAGAAGCCTGATGGATGCTGGAGAACATCCTCTGGTCAGATGGAGATCAATGTGTTGGGCTCACATGGAGTCCAGATGTTTGGTGAGAACCTGACCAGGACCACCACAGTGGATGCGTCGTCAGAGTNTAAGTTAGGCTAACAGTTTCCCCTTGCCTCCAGTCCTTACGTTAAGTTAGGCTAACAGTTTCCCCTTGCCTCCAGTCCTTGCGTTAAGCTAGGCTAACAGTTTCCCCTTATGTCCAGCCTTTTTGCTGAGCTTGGATAACAGTTTCCCCCTGCCTCCAGCCCTTACGTTAAGCTAGGCTAGCAGTTTCCCCTGATTCCAGCCTTTATGCTAAGCTAGGCTAAGAGTTGGGGCTCACAGAGATGAAGCTGATGTGAAACAGTAACTGTGGTGGAAGACAGCAGGATGATTAAATATTGGACTGTTCCTTTAACTGGACTTTTCCTTACATGTAAATGCCCTGCAGTGCCCCCCTCAGGACAGACTGATGCGCCTGCAGGGGGCATTGACAGGGACATAATCATGCAGTGATGAATTATGGGTAAGTAGTGACACCTGTCAGGTGGACAGATTGTGTCTCATTAAACTCAGATTAAGTCACATGACTGTTCAGAGTGTGTTGGCTGGTTTGTGTGCTGCGTTCAGACCACAGACTGTATAACAGATGGACGTAGCTGCCGTGACGTCACCCGTTGGTTTCTGCTCTGAGAACATGAAGCCAGGGTTTTGCT